CAAGCAATCAAACATCTCTGAAATTTTAAGAATTATTGGAGATGGCTCAGATGGGTGGGAGCTAGTTACAGAGTAACCATAATGTTAGGAATCAAATATCCTTATACGAACCAGTTTCGTTAGAATATGCACAATTAATAAAATGACATTAAGGTACGACAGTTTATTTCATAGAAACATGCTACATGCACAGTCACAAATGTGAGCTGTAAAATTTACAGCGCACTAATGACTGTACAAGTAGCTTTTTTGTATTTCATATTACAGAGAGAAATATGCCATTTGTACATTCAAAGTTTATATTGATATCGTGTGAAGTGTAAAAATTTGCATTATTAATTGTTTCAAGTATTGTTAAAATTAATGGTAAAATACGTGACACTTCACTCAAAAAATTGTCAACTTTAATGTAACTGTACAAGGCTGTTACAGAAAATACAGAGTCTAAGTCAAAAACTGCACCTTCAATTAATGGCTACTGTCACCAACGAAACGGCATCGTACGATCCAGTAATTGTAATAAGCGTTAATAAAATTGAATTTTTACAGGGGACTAGTAAGACATGATCACGTGAGTTCTGCATGCATGGTAACTTGTGCCTATACTCTGGCGTCTTACGTTAGTCTATGCCTTAGGTGTTTCAGAAATCAAATAAATATGTAATCAGTTTTCCTATCTGGGTGGGATCTTTTATAGCTCTTAGTCCCGTTTGATTTTTAATCAAAGAAATTAATAAAAAATTAATTTAATTAATCAAATATTTTAATGGAATTCAAAAATTTTCACCATTGATTCTCACTATTTCCAAAATACATTTTTTTATCTTTTTCTTTTTAATCACATATTTTTCAATAAATAATATTATATAAAAATTCAATTTTATTTATTTATCTTTTAACCACACATTCTTCTTTAATCTACTATTTGAAAATATATTATTAGATTATAATGGAGCTCAAACAAGCACTTTAAAATTTTTTAAATGACATATTTCATCATTTTTTTATTAACAAAACGGAGGCTTTTTTCATTTAGATTTTTGAGAATAGTTCTTGTGAAAAAAATTGTTTTTATTAAGAATGTATTATTAAAAGGTAACAAAAAATTATAGATTTACGTGTAAAATTATGTTATTGAAAAAATAATAATTAAAAATGGATTCACGAAAAAATTATTTTAAAGAATTTACTCCGTTAATCTACTATTTGAAAATATATTATTAGATTATAATGGAGCTCAAACAAGCACTTTAAAATTTTTTAAATGATATATTTCATCATTTTTTTTATTAACAAAACGGAGGCTTTTTTCATTTAGATTTTTGAGAATAGTTCTTGTGAAAAAAATTGTTTTTATTAAGAATGTATTATTAAAAGGTAACAAAAAATTATAGATTTACGTGTAAAATTATGTTATTGAAAAAATAATAATTAAAAATGGATTCACGAAAAAATTATTTTAAAGAATTTACACTAAATGTACATACACATATTTATATATTGACATTTGGTCAACACGTGACATTGTTTGGCTTGTTAGGCTTTGAGGTTCTCGTGTCATTACTTATTATTTTTCATGCGGAAATTGCACTAGTTGTCAATTTTTTACTTTACATTTACAAAAATGTTATTTTTTAAAAAATTTTGCAAACTTGTCAATTTTGGACATTTTTACCCCTATCGATAATTTAAATACCCTACATGTCATGAGATTTGAATGTATGAAAAATTGTACAAAAAACTGAAAAAATGTCACATCAAAATAAGTTTTCACCCTTTTCAACCCTAACCCAATACCATTTACAACCACTTTTCACCTTCCTTCTCGTTTCCATTCCCTCTCATTCCTTCCTTCCCCTCTCACTTTCGCCTCCATTCTTCACGGCATCCGCCTCTNAACCCTAACCCAATACCATTTACAATCCCTTTCACCTTCCTTCTCGTTTCCATTCCCTCTCCTTCCTTCCCATCTCCATTTCGCCTCCTTTCTTTACGGTCTTCACCTCTCTCTTCTCTTTCTCCCAGTCCCGGCTCCACTAAGTTTCCGCCGCTTCAACGATCCTCCCACCACTCAGTTTTCAGCGTCTCATCCAGACATTTGCCATTCGAGTTTGGTACTCAGCTTGCCCAGCCATCAATTGAAGAATTTGTTTAAGATATTCACTCTTCAGAGAAAATTGTACAAGTGTAAATTTTTGGGTTTGCGTTATGATATTTAAAGAATATTGGCTCTAAATGTGGATCATTGCTTGAATCG